AGTCAGAAATTGTGCGAGATAAAAATTATTTATATAACGTGGGAAACGCATGAGTTTCCGAAGATCAAAGGTTAGTAATATCATATAACTGCATGAAAGATTGTCTGATCGGTCCGTTTTCAAAGAAATTTGTTGCTCTGAACAGGAAGTTATTTAAGGTTATTTGGAGAGGAGATATATGGCTAAAATAACTCAGCGGATCTTTTCCGACGGAAATAGAGGAAACTCCGGTGATTAAAGCAGAGAGAAAAAAGAGAAATCTGTGTGTGTGACGTCACTGTTCTCGGAGGGTCGCGGAACATGAACATTTGGTCGTATAATATAAAATGCAATCCGCCCTACTTGACAAAGAATTCAAAGTACGCGGAGTCCGCAGGACGTAACACCCCCCCTTAGACAAATATTGGGGGTAGCCAACATTTGCTAGCGGAGTGTATTATGTCAAAGCTTACATACTACGCAGTTTTAGTTGCTATATCTATAGATTGATTAGAATATAATTAAAAGGATAGAAGGTGACTTCCATCTCTTCCTTCTTTTCCTTCGTCCTTTTTGAAAATACATTAGTTAAGATATAAATGTGTTTATGTATGTATTGTAATTTTTGGGGTTAGAAGGAGGAAAGATAGGAGGCAACCTCCGAATCCTCTTCCTTCTTTTCTTTCGTCCTTCTAATATGTTAGATAAGAATTTGTTTTGTTTAGGAGGAAAGGTAGAAAGTAACCTTTAAATTTCCTTTCGTCCTAAAATTTTGCTACCTATAGTTTAAGATTTTATAGATATTATATCGAGAGAGAAAAAAAAATAAAAATAAAATTCGTTGTTATAATTATTTTCTCACTAAAAGTACATGTATATTTATATATATATTTTTTATATATGTGTGTGTACTTATCCTATGATTATGTGTATGATTGGCCACCCTGATTGCCAGGGTGGCGGTCCAGGAGGGGGAGGGTGATGAGTCTTCCGTTTTTAGAAAGGAAATGGAGGGGCTGAGGGAGGAGAATAGGAGGATGAGGGTTGAGATGAGACAGCAGGCTGAGGAGCTGAGAGCTCTCAAGGTTGCCGCTCCGTCGGCCCTCAGCCTCCGAGAATACCCCCCTCTCCCCTCCAGTTTGAGTTACAGGAGGAGGAAGACGTACGCGCATGCTACCGGGGGCTCCACGTCAATGGAGGATGAATTAAGGGACGCCCGAACCCTACAGAGGAAGAGGAGGAAGAAAAGAAGGTTGGGGAAACCCTCTCCGCCCCTCTTCTCGGAAGAGGAGGAGATGAAGAAGGGCAGAGGGGTTTCCTCCGGGGAGGTGCCGTCGTATGACGACAACCTCCCGGAGGAACCCCCTTCACTAGTGGGGAAACCGGACGGGGCGAAAGGGGCCTTGGACGCTGCTCTGGCTAATCCGGCCCCTTCGGGCGACGTCGAAGCGAGGCTGGACAACCTGAGGGTTGTGGCGGCCCGCCTCGACGTCGAGAGAAGGGGCAGCTGGATGCCAGAGGCGGTGGGGGCCCCAATGCCCACTCCAGCTCCCAGGAAGAGGGAGGCGCCAGAAAGGACTTAGGCTCCGCCGCCACCAGCAGAGCCGGGACAAGGGAAGAGGGAGAAGGCGATGAAGAAAAGAGAGAGGGAGAAGAAGAGAAGGAGGAGGAAGAGGGAACGGGAGAGGACCCTACATGGTGGAAACAGGGGTCTACCTTCAGGTTCCCAGGCCAAGAGTTCGAGTGCCCAAGAAAAGGAGCCGGGAATAGGAGACCCGGCAAAACAACTGCAGGAGTGGGCACATTATCCTGCCGAGAGGGGGCTCCTGAAGGCCCTCAATCCTGGAGGCGGACGGCTACAGGCCAAAGAAGAGGAGGAGACCTGGGCGCTGGTAACAAGGAGGGGAAAGTGGAAGACGCAGGGGGAGGAGAAGGGAAAGGCCAAGGGAGGGCTCCCCAATCCTCCCCCCAAGGTAAGACCCGGGAGAGGGGCACAGACGGCGAGGCAGGGCAAGCCGAAGCCACCAAGATCGGCGGCCGTCACGATCAAGTGCTCAGAAGGCCAATACCAGGAGTTCGTGGTATAGGCCACGCGCCGGATACGACCAAAGGACCTGGAGATCGAAACGTCCCTAAGGGTCCGCAAGGCCCTGGGTGGGGCCATGATGGTCGAGGTGCCTGGTCTCGGGGCCGGGCCTTCCGCCGACCGGCTAGCGGGGGAGCTCCGCAAGCTAGCGGCGGAAATGGGCCCCGGTTTTCGTGTCCAGAGGCCGGAGAAGTCCGCAGCGGTGCGACTCTCCGGTCTGGACGCGACAACCTGGGCCGACGAGGTGGCGGCCGCCGTAGCCCGCGTTGGGGGATGCTCTCCCGCGGAAGTGTCCGCGGGAACAATGAGCGTCTCCCAGAGGGGCATAGGGGCGGTTGTGGTGCTGTGTCCGCTAGCGGCGACCGCGAAGGTCGCTGCCGCGGAGTGGGTCCCGGTGGGGTGGACCCGCGCCGGGGTGGCGGCGCTGCCCGCTCGCGCACAACTGTGCTACCGCTGTTTAGAGCGGCGGCATGTGCGCGAGCGGTGCACAAGCGCCGTCGACTCTTGCAGGGACGTGATGTCCAAGAAGAAGGCCGCCGAACGGGTGCGCCGGCCACGCCAAGCCCGTCGTTGACGACGGGGTGGTCGGCGGTCCCCGGGGGGAGATCTAAATAGCGGACCCGAGGTGCCTCCGACTGAGGAATAGGAAGGACCCCTGAGTAGCAGGGGTCCAAGCCCTCCTCGGCCGCCTCGGGCCCGCCTCCGTTGACGGGGGGGGATCCGGGAACTCTACGGTGTAGAGCCCGGATCCCCCCTGCTTCGAACAAGTAGGAATGGGGGAAGTGGTGCCCCGTTTGGGGACGGGCACACTCCCCCAGAAACCCTCCCTCCCTGGCTAACGGGGAGAGGGGGTAAGGGGTGAGGGGGGATGCCTCCTCACCCCATAGGTGAAACCAGAAGGCCAACTGGTCGGTCTTAAACCGACTGGGACTGCGCCCTGGATTCCTTTTGTGGAACAGGGCACGGTAACAGGTGGCAGGGGGCTCCTGGAAAGGAGTCCTGGGACCGGGGTGTTGGGGAGGGAATGCGGGAGCAGTGCTCCTGACTCCCCACAAACCGGTCCGACAGGTAAGCACCCCGCAGGGGTTTTAGTCGGTAGGAGTCCGACATAACCCCCGACCCCCCCAAGGGTCAAGGGTATCCATGATGGATTTCCCCTGCGTCACCAAAAAAAAAAAAGGGTGTGAAGTTAGCACCCCACTTTTTAATTGCTATTTTAAAACTGTTAATCGCCGAAACTCTTTTTATTAATATAAAAGAACTCTTATGCTTTTCAAAAAGAAGCTAGAACTCTACTCAGAACTATCAAGAATTAAAGTTGGGGTGCTAACTTCATATACCCGAAGTTTTAGAGAAAAATATTTCAGACAAAAGTTGTAGGGCTTTAAATGATCTATTTACTAATGCTATGAATTTGACCTTGGGATAACCCTGAAAAGTCCAATCAAGATCAACATAAAAATCTTAAATAGATACGCAAATTTTTTATTAGGTCATCTTTTTCTAGCAATTAATTTGAACAACTTTTGTCTAAAACATTATTTTATTTATCTAATATATTTTGAGATATTTAAGGAAAACTTGATAACTTTTTCAATATTTAACTCACGATATCTCGCTAACTATTTATCAGAAGAAAAAGTGGTACTAGACTTTTTTGCTCTATTTAGTCTCAAGAATATATTGTTCCAATAGTGCCCTGACTTTTGTTAACTTGCTGATTTTTGGAAATTTCAAAATTATCAAATTAATCAAATTCAGTGCATTAATGTAACAAAATATTCTTGAGACTAAATAGAGCAAAAAAGTTTAGTACCACTTTTTCTTCTGACAAATAGTTAGCGAAATATCATGAGCTAAATATTGAAAAAGTTATCAAGTTTTCCTCAAATATCTCAAAAAATTAAATAAATAGAAAAATATTTTAAACAAAAGTTATTCAAATTAACTAGTAGAAAAAAACAATGTAATAAAAAATAATGGTTCCCGTTTGAAAAACGCAAGTTGACCTTCAAATGACCTTGAAAATAGAGGTCAAGGTCAAAGTCAAGTTCATCATAAGGTTGCTCACTTAAATCCCTACAACTTTTATTCAGATCATTTTCCTTGAAACTTCACTACTGAACAATTATATGGGGTAGGACATTAAAATGGGACATCCTGTATATATCTTTATTCGAATATTACACCCAGTTGATGGAACACCATCAAAATGAATGTGTAACAGTCAAATGAAAATATATTTAGCCTATTTAGTTATTCAATTAATACCTCATTTACAAGTTGTTAAATAAGAATATAATGAATAAACAAGGGTTTCACGAAAACATACTTTCATTTGTACATATTGTCGTCCACTGCAAACTTGAAATATTCTGAAAAATGAAGAATAAAAGACTAATTACTCAACATTATATTTTATTCAAGATATAGGTTTCTTAACTACTGGCACGCGCGCATTATTGCACCATTGATGTTCTAACCGACACACACTATTAAACATCTACATCAAACTAACACTGAATATTAATGGTCATATTTAACCGATATCCAATACTGATGCCCAATGCTTAACCACTCAATATTCAGTGTCTACACCAATAATATACCGAATATTGATGGTTACACCCAACCCACACCCAATATTGAGTTTCTGCACCAAGATAATAACGAATATTGATGGTCACACCCAATTGACAGTCAATATTGAGAATCTACATCAAAGTTACACCGAAAATTTGATAGTAACACCTAACCGACACTCAACATTAATGCTTAACACTCAACTAACACCGAATGTTGACGGTTAACACTCAACTTTCATGATAAACACCCAAATTCAGTATTTACACAAAAATTGAGGGTTTTTTTTCATAAGGGTATCTTACCAAGTTATGGGATTACTAGGGTTTTCAAGCTGGTATTTAGTCTAAATAAATCTATTTATAAGCTATTAATATAATAATTTAGTAATTTATATGATACAATGCAGAAAACTCTTTTTCATTAAAACTCATTGAAACTACACTGTCTTGCTTAAAGTTGATCACTTTGCTCTTCGAATATCAATCGCATTGTAGTGAAGTAGGAGAATATAGTTGATAGATACTGAAACATTTTATCAACATAATATCAAAAACATGTATCCTTTTTTCGATGAATAATTATTATATTTATCAGCATTATATTTCTTTATTATGTATCTTTATTATATATCTTTGTTATGAAAGTAAAATGGATATTGGCAAATTATCGAGAAATCTTAACAATTGTTGAAATCATTCTATATCTCACCGATGCGTAGTAACGTAAAGATAGCGACGGTAGACCGCATGGCAGCGCAACAATTATTGGTTTCTGGCTTCTTAATATAACCATTTGCACGTTCTTCCTGAGATTATCTGATTCATCGTACCATTCCATCTCAAATGCTGCTTGCGCCACGTCACTGCTCTAAAAAAAGATGTCATGAAATAATGATATTGTGTTACGTTATTTTTGACAAATAATGGACTTACTATATGAATTAAATGTTCGGCTGGCCATGCATACATAAATACCTCCGATAACGCGCTGAAGACTATGAGGATAAGTTGAATTTTCAACTGTAACGATGCTCCCTGTTTAGACACACAGATATAATAAATAATTATATTACAATTCCGAATTTCTCTTCTCTATATGGAGAGTATGCAGAAACGCTGGATAGATCTACGAAATTGTACTTACTGCAATGATAATAAGACCGATTACTAATAGTGCCATAGTACTAAACAACACAGTTCCCAATGCAAAGGGACGGACTGTAAGAGTAATTTCACTTGCATATCTAAAATATTATTATTTATATTATTGCTTCATAATTTCGTGTTTTGTTTCACCTGTATGCTGTTATTTGTCGGCTTATGGTTACTTATAGTCACATAAACATTGACTGAATATTCTGCGTACGACGCTTCTCGACGAGCATGTTATTATGATAAATGATACCGTGCTTTTATAAGTTTATACGAAGGAAACGTAGAGAATAATCACACATTTATAATATAATAAAGGACTAAAAACAGCATTCCTGTTAATGCAGTAATGTTTCTGCGTCACAATAAAAAATAAATACAAAGCGCCAACAATTTAATTATAAATACGCGTATGTACTAGAAGATTTGAAAGCTAGTGAAATGTTCCTGACTTAAGGGGATCCTGGACTCGTCTGTTTTATCGACACAGTGATTTCAATCTTTTCAACCACTAATCTTTTTATTAGCTGCACAGTTTGAAAAATCCTTTTGTACAATGGAAGTACTTATAAAAACGAAGTCTGGAACGAAGAGTTCTATGTAAAATTCAATGAAAAATTAGAAAACTTATATTCATTATCATGTTCTGCGTCAGCTCGTACTTTCCCAGATAGAATAAGATGTTCTATGAACGTCCATTTTATGTCCATTTTACGTCCGCGCGTCCATGAACGTGAAATGGACGCTCATCCTATATCCGATTTTGGACTCAAAACGTTCATATTAGGACATCCATAGGACGTCCAATGTTGGACGTCAATAGTCATTATCTAAAAATTTTTATAGTGAATTTGATTGCTTGCACTAATGCGTACTAAGTGTGCTTTAAGGCTTGTTTAGATTTTGTTTGTATATATATACAGGGTGCTAAATTTTAAACATAACAGGTAAAAAATCTCGAAAACTATGGAAGATATGAAAAAAAGCTAAAACACGTGTTCCATGATTTTAAAGGGGAAAGAGAATGCCATTATCGATTTTTTATTTAGAGGGCATTTTCAAGGTTAGTTAAAGGTCAACTTAATTTTTTAAAATAGAAAGTCCAATTTTTTATTATACCTTCTTCTTCTACCAATTAATTTTAACAACTTGTGTCTGACACATTTTTTATTTGCCTAATATTTTTTGAAATGTTTAAGGAAAATATGGTAACTTTTTCAATATTTAACTTACGATATCTCGTTAACTATTCGTCGAAAAAAATAGTATTAGATTTTTTTACTTTATTTACTATCAAGAATATATTACTATAATAATGCCCTAACTTTTGTTAATTTAATAATTATGAAATTCATTTTTATATATTGATATAAAAATGAATATTTTTTGCATTTCAGAATTTTATTGTTGATTAACCTTTCCTTTACGTATTTTTGAATGTTTATTTTGCTAATAATTACGAATAGTGGAGAATTGAGAATGAGACCATTTTAGATCCTTGGTTTGAATATTCTATGGACGTGCTGAATTATGAATAACGGACATCTCATGGATGTCCTATAAACATCCGTCGGACTTTTTTGGACGTCTTATGGACGTCCCGAGGTCCAAATTCGAACGTCCACTGGACGTCTGTTGGACGTCCGTGTATCTGGGTTACTTATTAATTATAAAAATTCTGCAGTTTATTCACACAAAAGCTTTTGCTTTCAGACTAGGCATAGGCAGTATTAAAGAATAATACTAACGTAAGAGAAATGAACTTAGAAGTCAGTATAAAAAGATCAGTGGTTGAAAAAATGTATTGCATGTGGAATTGTGTTTACTACATTTCGAGATCAAACAGAACAGTAGATTAGTTCTGCATAACCATGATCGATGAAGCTGCAGGTAGACACAATCGTATTCCGACGCCCAGGGGCAGGGTGCGTTGGACGATGTGAGGAAGGAGATGGGAGAGCTCCGCGAGGAGCTCTGGAAACTAAGGGGAGAACAGGCGGCTCCAAGAGGAGCTAAGGGCCAGGGAGACTCCCGCCCATTCTGCCCCGGTTCCCGCTCCCCAATCTCCCAGGAGAACATATGCGGAGATGGCTGAAGGCAGCGCCTCTCCCTCATCGAAACAACCATCTAAAAAGAAGGTGAGGATATTGAGGAAGAGGGCTAGGAGAATAATAAAGGATTCTAATTCCAGCTCGGAGGAAGAAAAGAGAGGGGGGCCCACCGGCGAAGTGCCACCATTTTTTTACGACAACCTGCCGGAGGTGGCCCTCCCTCCTGGGGGCCAGCCATTCAGGGAGTCAGAAAGACCCTGGACGACCTGCTGGCTACCCTGGGGCTTGCCTAGCGGGAGGAGGTGGAGTACAAGTGTCTCTGGCAAGAGATCGACCGCCTCCTCGACGTGAGGGAGAGCCTCAGGGGCAGTGGCAGGCCAGGGTTCAATACATCGGCCCCGAACCCGGTACCGCGAGCTTCTCCTCTCCCCACCTAGGCTCCCTTGCCAGCAAGGCAGGGGAAGACCGAGAAGAAGGGAGAGGAGAAGAAAGGAAGGAAGAAAAGAAAAAAGAGAAGGAGGAAGGGAACAGAGGCGACAGTGACGACAACGGCAATGGCGACAGGGTCCCCCTTCGGCGTATTGCAAAAAAAACGTGTCCAAGCGCCCGGGAGCAGCCAAAATATGACGTCGACCCCGGGGTTTATTTCTATTATTTGCACCGGATAAGAAGGGGCAACGGTGGAGGCGGGCATACATGGACAGCAGGTCTTAAAGAATAGCAACCTTTGACTTTGAGAGACACCAGCTTGTACCACTAGGTACAAGCAACAATGCTTCTCTCTGTAGTCGCCGTGAGCTCGGGATAGCATTAGAGATGTCGCCTCCGAACGACATCTCTCAACGTTATCTGGGGAGGGGAGAGTGTCGTGAGCGTGGAGCGTCAGGTAGCTCAGTGGTCTAGAACAGTCGCCCGGCAAGCGAAAGACCCGGGTTCGATTCCCGGTCTAGCGACTACCGCGCTCTCGATATTTTTCTCTCCTCGGAACGAAAAATGAGACGCAGGTCCCGAACGCACGGCGTCCCGTCGCCACCTAGTACGCCCTCCTTCTTTCATGGTGGATCCCCCTTCGGCGCGTTGCAAAACGTGTCCAAGCGCCCGGGGGCAGCCAAAATATGGCGTCGACCCCGGGGCTTATTTCTATTATTTGCACCGGATAAGGAGGGGCAACGGTGGAGGCCGGCATACATGGACAGCAGGTCTTAAAAGGATAGCAACCTTTGACTTTGAGAAACTGTCAGCTTGTACCACCAGGTACAAGTAACAATGCCTCTCTCTCGATATTTTTCTCTCCTCGGAACGAAAAATGAGATGCAGGTCCCGAACGCACGGCGTCCCGTCGCCACCTAGTACGCCCTCCTTCTTTCATGGTTTAACAACACCCAACCCAGGTCTTGCGCTGGCGCTTAGGAACCAGGGTCGAAACCAGCCCCAACAGCAAGGCAACGGCCGAAACCAGCTCCAACAGCAGGGCAACGGGGACCCAGGCCGGGATCCATTACTGCCAAGGTCGCTGATTCCAATGCTCCCCAGCCCTCGGCCACTCCGCTGACGGAGTTATGGTCGAGGGTTGTGGGGAGATGGGAAAAGAGGAAAGAGGAGGAGGAGAGTAAGTAGACTGGACCCCCCTCCCACACCAACTGCCGTATACAGGAGGAGAGGACCGACGGCAACGAGAAAGACACGACTGAGGCCACCAAGATCGGCGGCCGTCACAGTCACCTACCCCCGCGACTCCAATAGTCTATGTTGGAAGCTAGACACCGAATCACGCCGGCGGACCTTAAGATCCCTGGATCCCTCAAAGTCCGCCAGGCCCTTACGGAGGCAATGTTGATAGAAGTGTCTGGCTCCAACGCGGGGGCGGCCGCTAACCGGCTGGCGGAGGAAAAGATTATCTGAGAAAAGCGGAATGGGGCGAACGTTTGCGCACGCTGACCTGTGCCAAGAGCTAGGCGCAAGGCTAACTTTCTGGGTAAGAGCGACAGGAGAAGCGAGTTGTACGGATACATAGTAGCGAGGTGAGCAATAATAGGTTCTGGATCCCAGACGAAATCGCAGCGAGAGCAGAGAGGCCTGAGCACCCCCCCCCCCCACAAAAAAACGCTTAACAAGCATATGGATACCAATCTCGCTATGCGTGATAAGAGAGACGGCGCTACGAATCGTATTGAGTGTCGAATACGAACGGACATGCGTGAACTCGCGAGCGAGAAAATTTATAAATTGCTCCGGAGTTGGTGAGAACAGAGGGACGGCCGAGGAGTGACAATAAAAAACCACTAGTCTCGAAGAAGGCAAAAATAGTGACGGACCGTAGCGTCCCTGAGCGAAGCGACAGTAATCTCCGCACTAGTTGGTACTTGGCGGTCAAGCTAGCCGGATAAGCGCCCGACCACCAGGGAAAAGCGTCCGCCAAGCCGGATGACGACCCGTGAAAGGAGAAGAAAGCAAATCAGGAGATGGCGTAAGGGTGAGAGACATCCCCACAAGAAGACGATTGAATAGGGGAAACCACGCTTGAGATGGCCATGAAGGGGCGACGACGACCCCCTCTACGTGATCGTTAATAATTTTACGAAGAACGCGCGGTAAAAGAATGAATAAAGAAAAACGAAAAAATTTTATATCTGCCCAGGTAGTGTAAACGCATTCACCGCCACAGAGCTAGGGTCAGGAAACCAAAAGACGTAAGAAGCAGAACATTTTGCATTGATAATAGATGTAAACAGATCTACGTCAAATGGTCCAAATGTAGTCAAGATCTTCGAAAAAGCAGCGTGCGACAATGACCATTTAGTGTCTAAGCTGACGGCTTGTGATTCGCTATCAGCGATGGTATTGTGAATAGAGGCAATATAAGAAGCAAATACGAAAACATTACAGTCTTCGCACCAGGTTCAGATTTGCCGCATTAACGATGTAAGGTGCGGGTATTGCACCGAGCCGAAACGATTGACATAGGCAATGGCCGTAATATTGTCGACGCGGAGGAGAATGTCGCAGTTTCGAAGATCTGCAGCAAAACACTGCAAAGCATAAAAACAGCTTTGAGTTCAAGAAAATTTATATGACGGGACCGTTCAGACGCCGACCACCAACCACGGGCATGATGCGATCCACACGCACTCCAGCCAGAGAGAGAGGTGTCCGAAAAAATTTCGCGAGCAACGACGGAACGTATGATCTTAGCCTGACGGGGGTTAGAAAGAACAGAAAACCACCTTCGGAAGTCGCGTTGTAGCTACATAACTGCCAGTAGAACGCGCTAAAACAAGAAAGTTTTCACGCTTGAAATCCTTGATGTGTAGGAAGCCATATTTCACCGCAGGACAGACATATACAAGAGAGCTTATCATGCTCGCGAAGTATGCGACAGCAGGATTTCGTGAAAAAATTGAGAGATAGTGACAATGTTGTGCAGTTACTTGTTGAAATTTCTCATAATTAAAGAGAAAAACCAAATGACGTAAGTAAAGACAGGGATACAGTCAGGTTATGAAGGCAGTTGACTCTCGAAGCCCCAAAAAAGAGGAAATCATCAAGATGAACAACCGAGCAAAAGAAAACCCTGGTCGCGTAAACGGGTCATGATGGGGTTGTCGGGTTCCAGAATAGGAACCGGATTCCCTTTCGTCCGACGGACGTGTGCCATGTTCAGTTAAATATTCGAGAACATTGAGCATTACGCCGTCATTGATATAGGGTTTCCCCTAGGGCTTAGGATCGACTGACTCGTGTGCGTAAGAGCTTGGTGAAAATATATGACGCCATGTCCAAAAGGCAATGCGGTAAATTCGTAAGTAACCGAACGCCACTGGAAGTGCAGAAAACGACGACAGTGAGCCGTAATGGGCACTAAGAGATATGCATCTTCTAAATCGAGAGTCGATAGCCTCGAGTCCTAAGTCATCAACTGCACAACGGTACGCCTGTCTTCTAACTGAAAATACGGCGGCGACAGGTAAGTATTTAATTATTTGAGGTTTAGTATAAAACTCATGCCTCCCGATGCTTTCTTGACGAGAAAAAAACTTGACAAAAATTGGTCGGGAGAAGGAGAGATGTTAACTACAGCTTCCTTGGAGAGTAGACGCGAAATTTTTGCATCGCAAGCCACCGCAACAGTCGGAGAAAAAATGGGTTCCGATAATGATACCCGAAGTGGCGGTGGGGACACAAACGGGATATCGTATCTACGGCACCCAGGACTTCCGGGTCGTTGGTCACCTCTTTCCACGTAGACCGAAAAACGGCCAATCGGCTCGCAGTTCTTACATCCGTCAACGGCGAAACTGAGAGCGAAGGCAAAAACCCCGGGAGCGGGAGCGGTTCAACTTCGGCACGGCCCCTGACCTGCGAACCGCAGTCATTACCCGTGGAGCAGAGGCCCGCAAGTTTCCTTGACGTGCTGGAGGCGGCTGAGAAGGATGATGAACAGCCGCCGTCGAAGGAGTCATCGGCGGCTTCAAGAGATCCCATTTCGCTTTCTCGCAGGCGTGCGTAGACCTGAGGTGTTCGGCGAGTGACGAGCCAAACAGCCACTCGTCAATAACCGCGCCAAACTGCTATTGTTCCCGATTATGCCTGATGTTCGTCTCGTTTTAGAACGCTTAAGCGTTTTCCAAGTGCTGAAACAAGCTCCTGGTTGAGCTTGGGGCGACCTAGCTGCAGGAGCTCGCTCTGAAGCTGGTACTTTGACAGTCAAGCCGTGCATGTGTCCTCCTTCAGGCTGGAGTAAACCTCATTGCAAGTAGAGGCGAGAAAAAGTGAATCCCACGAAGATTCAGCCACGGCAGGAGGGGAGCCGAAGAGCTCACTCACCAACTACGACGTATTCTCCTTCTCGGAGTCGTTTAGCTCCAAAGGGAGTGGAGAAAACTCAGCGAAGGAGACGGTGGCTAGCGGAGGCTGGCCCGCGAAGAAGTATGGTCAGATAAAGCAATCGGATACGTGCCTTCGGGTAACAAAGGCAACGCACCTGGTACGCCGCCCCAGTTCTCAAGAACCGGATGCTCATCTGCCTGCTAGTCCTTTGGAACGGCGATGAAAATATCGTCCGCCTAGGGTTGGACCAGTGTCTTACACCGCAGAGACGGGAACAGACCGGACGTAGTCGGCAGGCAGAGAAGCAGAACCTCGTTGGATCTTCCTGAAGGCCAAAATATCGTGCAAGATAGTGGTGAGGCCCGCCCACGATGATTGAGAAGCATCGCGCGAGGAAGTGCGCGACCTAACCTCTAAATCGCACTCGCTCGAGCGACAGCCGAAGTCTCGTTCACGCGAATAAGAACTATGCCGACATTTTCGGGAACGATGGCTCCTATGCTTAGACATCCTGGAGATCAATCTGGAAAAGAGCGGATAATGAAAAAACACAGCACACACAGTACACAAAAAACGACAAACTGAGTTGCGCGCAACAGAAACACAATGAGATGATCCTGCGCGAGCGCGCGGGAGAGCGGTGGCGCACGCGCCCCTTTTTCGCTCTGGCTGGAATATAAACTGTTGGGGAGTGCGTGTACAGAAGACACTACTACAATATCCATCCGGACGAGACCACAGAGCATAAGTATCAGTTTGTTGGCAGTTCCAGCCGATTTCTGGGTTTCTTTTAGTAGTTATACAATAGTTCCAACGCTTTAGATGGGTTTCGTCGCGGGTGCTGGCCTTTAACTATTTTTAAATAATTTGTGAAACTTAAGGGCAGCACCGCACCACAAGAGTAAAGTATGAGTTTGCTGACAGTACCAGTCGACTTCTTGGTTTCTTTTAATAATTCTACAATAATTCCAACGCTTTAGGTGGGTTTCATCGCGGGTGCCGGCCTTTAAATATTTTTAAATAATTTTTGAAGCTTAGGGCCAGCACCGCACCACAAGAATAAAGTATGACTTTGCTAACAGTACCAATCGACTTCTTGGTTTCTTTTAGTATTTCTACAATAGTTCCAACACTTTAGGTGGGTTTCGTCACGGGTGCCGGCATTTAACTATTTCTAAATAATTTTTTATACTATATAAAATAATTTTTGAAACTTAGCGCCAGCACCGCACCACAAAAGTAAAGTATCAGTTTGCTGGCAGTTCCAGTCGACTTCTTTGTCTCATTTAGTAGTTTAGTCTGCCAGCAAACTGATACTTTATTCTTATGATGCGGTACTGGCACTAAGTCTCAAAAATTATTTAAAAATAGGTAAACGACAACACCTCCAACGAAACCCATCTAAAACGTTGGAAGTATTGTAGAACTACTAAAAGAAACCAAGAAGTCGACTGGTACTGCCAGCAAACTCATACTTTACTCTTGTGGTGCAGTGTAAGTCCTAAGTTTCAAAAATTATTTAAAAATAGTTAAAGGCCGACACCCGCGACAAAACCTACCTAAAGCATTGGAACTATTATAGAACTACTAAAAGAAACCAGAAAGTCGACTGGTACTGCCAGCAAACTCATACTTTACTCTTGTGGTGCGGTGCTGCCCCTAAGTTTCACAAATTATTTAAAAATAGTTAAAGGCCAGCACCCGCGACGAAACCCATCTAAAGCGTTGGAACTATTGTATAACTACTAAAAGAAACCCAGAAATCGGCTGGAACTGCCAGCAAACATACTTTACTCTTGTGGTGCGATACTGGCGCTAAGTTTCAAAAATTATTTAAAAGTGGTTAGAAGCCAAAACTTTTGCTAAAACATATCAGGAACTATACAATTATTCTAGAACTATAAGATTTCGTGCTTGAAATGGTTTTTTTTAAATTGCAGTGCTACGGGAAGTTAGCATCTCATATTTTCAATCTGCCATTTTGTTAATTAATTCGGCGGTACTATTGATATAACCTATTAGGAACTATAGAACCATTGTGGGTGCAAATAGCACTATCGTTAAAACTTGCGGTGCTAAAAAATGAGGTGCCAACTTCACACCGGCGTGTCAGCGAGAAGTAAAGCTTACATGATAAACATCATTCAGATGTTTATTATAACATCGGATTATCTCGTCACCACATTATTTGAAAGCTATTGAAATCTATATATAGAAAATATTTTATTTCATATATAAAATTTTTTCAGAATGACTGATACTATCCTCGAAAATATATCAATATTTTTCCTTGAAGATATACGTAGCGCGCGAGCGTAAATGTATTCAGAGTCACCTTAGCCTTAGGTATAAAAGCAACGACATCATACTTGAGTAAATATTGATGCTTTTCGATGCACTTTTCGAAATCGTAGATATTCGTAGTTCCTCGTAAGTCCTCAGTCAACAACCTGAATCTTGCAGATGCCAGCCAGAGCAATAGTGCCATGAAAACGTTAACCGATAAATTCGCGGCTACTTGCAAACCCACGATAATTTGATGTACGTATATAATAGCTCTCAACGGTTGACGGGATGTATCGAACGGAAAATCGGTAGGTGTTGGAAACGGCTGGTCCAGCACAATAGGCCCCAGGAATAAAATGAAAAGAGCGATATAGAATGAAGCTATGCAAAAACCGTAAAAATTGGCATATTTATCGATGTAATTTTTCTGGATAATCGCTTCTTCATGAAACTCAATTAGCGAGCAAAAGTTCTCCATTTCGAATGTAACGCACTGCAATTCGTCAAAGTATTAAAATAAAGTCGTATTAACTGAAAACCCTTATAGCACAGAACATTACTGCAACGTTGCAACGACACAACATTGCCACATTGTTTCAACGTTGCAGCAATGTCGTTGCAACTTCTGTGCTATATGGGGATGTATGAAAAAGACAAAAAAATAAGAAATGAAGAGAGAAATAAAGAATAAAAGAGGGAAACAACTTTTATATATCTTTAAGAAATAATATCCATATTAGTTACTTGTAAACGTTGATAAATAATTATGCGGCACAAAATATTCCAAACAATGTGGCCGCAAGGGAATAAGCCCAGAATTGATTTTACAAGAAGATTGGGGTCATCTAGATTCATCACCAAAGTGTACAATATTGATATTAATTCGACCATGATTAATATCACAGAGATAAACTGATACAACTTCATACACAGCATTTTGCATGTACTAGTATTCTGTGGCAACGGCCAAAACCATATGACAAGTAGACTCAACTTTACGACGGCAATCACCTTTTTCAGCGTTACTTTCGCTTGCATGATTATACCGAATCGATATACAATAGTATTATAGACGGCTACTGTTTATCAGGAATCATTTTTCGCATTGTGTGCGGACAATCGACAATATAAGAATTTGCGATGGAAAATATTACGAATTGATACAGTGAAGTTTTGCTCGAGAAGCTTTATATATCGTGCTTTTTTTTCGATTTTTATTCGACGTTGGATATATAGTCTAGATAATATTTATGCAAATGATGAAAATGGAAGATTTAGAAGTGGAAGGTCTACTGTTAATATTTATTATCCCATTTCCCGTTGGTACAAATCAGACAGTACGCGTAAGTTATAACGAATTAAAATAATGTATGCTTTTGCAATCGTGCTGAAATATGAAACGTCAGTCAAAATAAGACAAGATAGCTCTCATGATATAGAATTTTTGACGCCATATATAGTCTATAGACTGAATACAAGCAGCAAGGGAGGTGAATTATTTAGCCGACGTTATTTCGTAATAATTTGCAGTTATCGTTTCAGAAAGTACACATTAAATAATAAGACATTCTATCGCCAACCGGAATATTGTAGAGATGAATGAAAGGTGTGGAAGATATTTCGTTCAACTCGTACCTATACCCACAGTGTGTATTGCGTAAGCTTATACAATACCAAATTTGCTGATAGTTCTGTTAGAGATATTTTGTTCTGTTTAAATAGATAATTTGTTCAATTATTGTGAACGATAATTTTAATTCTTTGAAACTAAATTCTAATTACAAGCTTCTATATTTTTATTTTTTCTACTTCAACTCAATATGGGGTACCTTATTATAGTGTAAAGAACTTTCCTTCGTTAAAACCATATCAGTTACTTTTTTCATTCGAACGTTGTGCATAATATGGTAAAATAAGAGAATATAGATGAGAGATATTGAAATATTAATTATTTCTTGCAAAAATGTTACTTTCTTTTACGTACAATTTTGATATATTTATCTGCTGTCTTGTTTATTCTATTTGATATATTTTTATCATTTTTTATTGTGTCAATTTTTATTTTAGATATGATGTGTAGGAAAATGAGGTTTTTAAAGAGAGGAAGAGATGGCACGTGAGTTTAAGTGAGGTGAAAAATCTATAGAATAAATATCCATCGTCGTATAATAATTTAAGGATGCAGATAACCATATTGTAATTTATTCGTTCCAACAAACTTGTAAAGTAAATCAAATATTCAGCTGATCAGGCATACATAAATACTTCCGATAATGTACTTATGTCTAAAAATATTTGCCAAAAAATTCTTGTATATTTTTAATGTTAATGGTAATCTTTATGTTTAAACAAATATTATAAATTTTTTATCGTTTCCGCAATGATTATTATACAGCAGCCTATTATTTATAGAGCTACTAAGGATCATTGTGTTTGCCCTGAAAGTAAATTTTAATATTCATAATAAATTAGTAATAAATGTCGAATAGATAATATAATAATCACATATATTATCGCGTGTTTATCAGTTAAAGAATGGAGTAACATAAAGCAATAATGTGCTCACGAATATTGATCTCAACACAAGTATTGATTTCATCATTTTAACATATTTATGTGTAATTTATTCAGAAAAATTCGGTATTACAACCTTTCTGTTAATATTTTAATGTTTCATAGTTTGCTGTTTACATATTTCTCACATAGCATTTTGATCAAACGCAATATACGTAATTAAGACATTTCGTAATTAAGACATTTACAAAAAATTTATCTAATTTGCTCGTTATAATGCAAATGAGGCTGCATATAATTAAGATAACAGTATTAGTGAACGCACACTACCTATCGCAAAAGAACTGTAGAGTTACTTGTTCATATATGTAGAGTTGGATTTGAGTTTATTGGGCGTCAAAATTACTACAATTCAATCGACATCTATCTTCGCTTGAACGCAGGTTGTGTCGTCTCTCTGTCTCGCGGAATGCGCTCCTCTCCAACGGTCTTTCGAACGACGATCGTCCGTTAATGTGGCAATCGTTCCGACACAAGGCATCGCATCTCGCTTACAATAATAAATATATCGCTCCGCTGATAACCGGGCCAACACACACGGGCAACAAGGCAACACACCCGACCTACAATACACAACTCAAAGCATATACGACGAGAATACAACCGACAAACGGTAAAAATGTCGAATGGGGGACCCCGCTCCTATGACCTTGACCTTGACATATGTTGTCAAGAACACCTTCCTGAGTAATGTGCAAAAGGTTTTAGCCGTCGCTCGCTGTTTGTTAAAAAGTTATTACTAAAAACTTTCATAAACGTGCAAGTTGGAAGTGCGTTTAGTACGACGCGCTACGCGTGCCCCATCCCCGTCTCCGATATTTACCCGAAAGTGATTGAAAACAAACGATGGGAAGAAGATAAAGAGAGGCAAGTGAAATGAGGGTGGGGCGGGGATGTAGTGGGGAGTGGAGATGGGGCGCGCGTAGCGCGCCGTGCTAAACGCACTTGCAACTTACGTATATATACCATACGTTATTACGTATATATATCAAACTTTTTTTGTTAATTACTTTTTAATAAACAATGAGCGACGGCCGCAACTTTTTGCATAACACTCAGGAACATGTCCTTAACAACATATATCAAGGTCATGAACTTTTGAGGGGGTTGATCTAATGTGCATATTTATCCCAACTTTTTCCCATAGAGATAAAGTAGTAAGTTGCAAGTGCGTTTAGCACTTACGGAGGGGAAGGGGTGGGGAAGGGACGGGAGAAGAGCAGGGGAAGGGCGGAGTGGGGCAGGGGGCGCGCGTAGGGCGCCGTGCTAAACGCACTTGCAACTTACGCATAAACCAAACTTTTCTTGCTAATAACTTTTTAACAAACAACGAGCGACAGGTAAAACCTTTTGCACGTTACTCAGGAAGGTGTCCTTAACAACATATGTCAAGGTCAAGGTCATAGGAGCGGAGCCCCCTATTCGGCATTTTTACCCTTAAATTTAATATTATATTGTAATGTCGGGATTTTTCGTAGTACGAGGGTAGTCCCAGAAGTACCTGACCTGACGTATAAATAGCGGTTGTTGTTTGAAAAGAATGACTATGGTAGAAGGTACCAACCTTATAAAGCTTAAGTTTGAAGTTTAACGACGCTACGTTGTTTAGTATTTGTTTGACAGCCATCAATAGTGAACGCTCTCAGTAAATTTGTAAACATGGAAAAAATTGGTCATCGTTATGTGATACAATACTTTCATTTGAAAGGCCTCACTCCAACCAATATCAAAGCGGAGCAAGACTCTATTCTGGGGGAGTGTGCTCCTTCGTTTACAACAGTAAAATATTGGCAGAGTTTAAACGAGGCCGTACGAGCTGCCAAGACGAACATCGCAGTGCCCGACCAAATGAGGTGACCACGCTAGAAATGGTGAAAAAAATCCACAAAATGGTATTGGATGACCATCGACTGAAAGTGCGCGAGTTAGCAGACATGGTAGGCATTTCAAAAAGTGCTGTACATTACATATTAACTGAAAATTTGGACATGAGCGCAAAATGGGTGCCGCGATTGGGATAAAAACAGCGTCGTGAGGATGTTTCAATCGAGTGTCTGGCGAAGTTTCGCAGCAATAAGGCTGTTACGTCCTGGAGGAGGAACGCAACTTGACGCTTGCTTTTGCAAGCTCCGACGTATTCGCAAATCTGCGGAACAGATCAAGGATCGGAATGACCCCTTTATCTGGCGCAGACGTACGTCGGTAGTCCTTTATTTAGGTCAAGGAACTGAATCCTTTTACCTGGGATAGGACCGTGAGCGACAGTTGAGGGAAGGGAGAATTTTTGATTGAGAATAATTATTTGGAAAACGTGATTGGTTTACAATTACAAACAACAACTTGTTTTATTAGTGATTAGACGGAAGTTCACAATGAAATAAAATTTGTAAGATTTTATAATGTGTCCATATGTGTATGTGTATGTGTATACATATGTGGTTAACAATCGCGCTTAGAACAATGATTCTCGATTACTTAGAACAATATTCCGTGTTCGTTATGCCCGACTGTGATCGAAAAGATTGGTCCACTGACGTTGGATTTTACTATTAAGGAGGAATGCCAAGGGAGATAGAAAACGGAAGTAAAACGAAAGGAAAAGAAAAGAGAAAGAAGAAAAGATAAAAAAATGAAACGAAAGAGGTCACTCAGGTAAAAGAAAATATAAGTAACTTACTGCTAGACTTCTCTGATCTTAGTAGACAATGAAAGGTGTGGTTGCTGCGTCTCTGTGAGGATAGATGCTTCAAGTTCTGCGCCAAGGATAAGCAGCTGGTTTCGGCAGGATCGCTCTCAATGGCCCAAGAAGGCACAAAATCGTTGCACCGAATAATTAACAAGTGAAGAATACTGGTCGGTCTAGGCCACAAGTTGACTTGATTGTTAAAAAACCCTGAAGGGGTGCTGGAGAGA